CAGGCCGTTAAAAATATGCTTTGGGGAAATCCCAGCTTCCTGGAATTAGGGTATTATAATTCAATTCCACAAATACTTATTAGGCATCTACTATATTCCCTGCAAGACACTTCGAGAACATAGTGAAAACATCTAATCGGTTTCTGCATGCCTGCAAGTAACTGACATTCTACTGGAGAGCCGACAGTTGAACATGTACACAAACTGGGTACAAAGATCACTAAAGAGAGAGAATACAAAATAGCTGACAAGAGTCACCAATTGAGAACCAGAGTTTTCCATTTGAATGCAGCTGTTTGCCAGGTAACAGCCATGGGACTCTAAAGAGAGTGAGCTCTTTCCTCTCTGGGCTGCGTTTCCCCTGTCCATCAGTCAACATGCATTTACTAAGATCTTACTTTGTGCCAGGCACTATATTACATGGGATACAAAGAAAAACAAAATGTTCAAGGAGCTCACAGTCTGACAGGGGAGACAATATTTAAGCAAGTATCCTGGGTACATGGAAGGAGATCTTAGAAGTGGTCAGGTGATCTCAGAGGAAAGGCACAGGGAGGACAAAACAGGGAATGGGAAGAGGGAACTAGGCAAGAACTTCTACGCAATCCTTACACTAACCCAGTCTACCAAGAGAATGATAAAGTACTTGGACTAAATGATCCTGGAGGTCCATTCAGCCAATCAGCAAGCATTTATTATGTGCTAAATGGGTGCCAGGCACACAAAGTAGATAGAAAAATATAATGTGCAAAAAAAGGAAATAGAAGGTAATTTTGGAGGGGAGGCAATAGCAGATAGAAATACCAAGAAAGGACTTGTGTAGTTGTAGGTGGTGGCACTGGAGCTTTGAAGGAGGCTAGGAAGTCTAAGAAGAGAGGAGGGGAGGGAATGCATTCCAGGTATGGGGGACAGCCAGTTCAAAGGCCTGGAGTTGGGTGGGTATGGAATGTGACTGGCCAGATTAGAAGCCAGGTTGTAAAGGGCTTTAAAGGCCAAACAGAGCCATTCATATTTGATCTTAGATGTAATTGGGAACTACTTGGAGCTCATTCAACAAGGCTAAATCCCATGATCCCATAACATTCCCTCTCCCTCCCTTCCACCTAATTCTTGCAGAAATAAACAAAACAAAACTTTTTCAGTCATTTAACCATAAGTACAGGTACCCTCCCTCCATTCATCACAATCCCTCACAAGGCTAAAAACTCTAAGAGAGGGGGGTTCAGTCTTAAGCAGAAACAGAGAGCTTGCTTAAGACTATGGGAGATGCAGAGAAGCCTTATTCCTACAGACACCAACTTTTCCAAAGTATGATCCTGCCCAGTCACTCTCAGAGCCCTAAAGGCAGGGTGTATAGCCATTAGCTGCTCCTGACTAGGTCAATCATCTAAGGTATGGCATGGGAAAAATGTACATCTTGAGAGTGGTGCTCGGGAAATAACACTGGACTGGGTCTTTCGACCTTGGGCAAATCACTTCACTTCTAGAGGGTATTAAGACTGGATGACTTCTCCGTTCAAGCTTTTCTAAGTTCTTGTATCTCCACCACCTAGAACAGTCTCTTGATAAATGTATAATTGTTCCAAGATCCCTCCCAGCTCTGACTTTCTATGTTCTAAGACCCCATTCAACCTTAATATCATTTGATTCTATGATGGTGAGATTCCAAGATTATAGAGTTAACAACTCACCAATACAGTTTAGTTGGAGTCAACTAGAGTGGGTTCTGATCTCTGGACACAGAACCCTACCTGCTCCCCCAAACCTAACCCTTCCCCTAAGAAATGAGGGAAGGAGATGTAGAAAATCAATGCAGAAGTCCAAGAATTCAAGAGGGAAACCACTGTATTCCCTTCCTGGTTCAGTAGCCTTGGGGAAGGGGGGGGGCAGGAGTTGAGTTTAACTGACTCCTTCATTTCAGTCTCAAAAAGTTGGGGAAGCTGCCCAGTTAGTCTCCAGTCCTACAGAGATTTTAATCTCTTTGTGATCAGATAAAGGGGAGAGAAGGGGAGCATTGCCTCCCTGCTGGGGAGGGCCATTCAAAGCTGGTTCCTGTAATAAAGTGATTTAATAGATCTAAAGAGGCCAATTCCCTTCTTTCTCCCACAATTACTTCCTGTGGGTTATTCACATATGTAAATGAAGCAGGAAGAGGGGCAAGGGAGAAACTTTTAAACTAGATGTCTGATTGGGGAGGGGGTGTATAGCAATGGGCTAGGGACTAATCATTACTCTGAAATCACCATCTACCAAAGTCCCCCCTAAGCCTCCACAGACCAACATCTTCTCTCCCCACCTCATTATTCCCCCCTTCCCCTAAGTCACTGCTCTCCAAATTCTCCTGCTCCCCTAACCACTGGTCTCCATCTCTCTCCCCAAATCATTGTTCTTTCGGGTTCCCTCTCCTCAGTCACAACTGGCCTCCCTATCCTTCCAAATGGCTTTTACGGATACAGTTTGCCATGACCCTTCCTTATCCTTGCAACCTCCTCCCCTTCTAAGGGCTGCCCTCCCCTTTCCAGGTGCATTCCTGTCCATCTTTTTAAGCACAATTCAAACATCATCATCTATGATGACTGGTTTAGATCTAGAGTGCTTCTGGAATGCATTCTGACACAAAACCATCCAGGCTGTGAATGCATTTTATCCCTTACGCTGGACTTTAAGAAGCTTGAGGGCTCTTCTTTAGTATCTAGCCCAGTGCTTGAAGTGGGAACCAAGTACTAGCCAAGTGCATAGAAGGAACATCTAAACTGAAAAGGGATATGAAGTAATCAGACCTGCAGGACTTTAGTTATCTCCCCACACACACATTCACAGTCCTCCTGGTACCCTTGCTGTTTGTGATTGCAAGCTAAACCCGTTCTCTCTCTCAGTCTTCCCCTCCCCCAAATAGTTGGGAACTCCACTCCACCTTGGGCTCCAATTCAATCCCTTTCATCCCCCGCCCCCAAGCCAAAGGCCCTAGAGAACAGAGCTCAATCCTTCAAAAGCAACCCCTAAATCTTTGGGCCTGTTAGGGTGGTAGTGATAGGGGGAAGGGGAGAGATTACCCTAAGGGTGAACCCAGAACTAAGGTCTAGGTTGCACCCCTTTTCGCTTGCCCAGCTGCAATCCTGGGGTACTTCCTCCCAAAAAGGGATAAGGAACCCAGGACGGGACAACTTAGAGTGAGTGGGTGAGAGATCTCTACATTCCCTGTCTCTGGAGGGAGGGAGGGAAGCTGCAGACAGACTAGCCAAATCAAGGGTAGGCGGATGAGCGAAAGGGTGGGGGGAGGTCCAGGAGCCCCAGGCCCCTTCTGTTTGTGTCCTGGAATGTTAGGGCAGCAATTTGAGAGCCGTCTGGGGCCATAAATGCCAAGTCTGGAAGAATAGATCCAGAGCCTAGACTGCCTTCCCTCCCCCTAGCCCCTCCGAGCTGGGGCGACACTGAATTTCACCCCCACCGAGCTGAACAGCTTGCTTTCACTGAGAACTTGGGGTTGCTCCCGCCTGTAAGAACAGCCCTAGGCCCTGGCTCTTGCCTTCTGTCTCTTTCTCGGTCAGTTCCAAATGCAAGAAGCATCTGAGTCACTGAGTTTGGTGGCTTGGGGGTGTGTGTGAGCAGAGGTTCTATTTGGGGGTGGGGGAGGGAGGGAGAGAAGAGTGGATATAATCAGCATGAAGACCCTTTCCCCTCTCCGCCCTCCCTTGCTCCAAATCACGAGGGTTATCATTTCCACAACTCTAGTGGATGGCATCTAGGGAGTGGGAAATCCAGCGGCTTTAAGTCCTTGGCTCACCCAGAAGGTCTCCCTCTCTGCCGAGTCCAATGAAACACTAGTGGACAAATCCGATAGCCTAGTGCTGTTTCCCCCAGCGCCTCCAAACCCCCTCCCCTCAAGTCTTTCGACCTGCTAGCTCACTGTTCACCCTCACCACCTCCCACCAGGCAGGACAAAACCACTTCAGTTTCTGCCACATGGGGTCACCTCCCTGGCCCCTGCCCCGCAAGGGTAGAAGTACAACGGACACGTGGTGAGCCGTAGGGAAAAAGGAAGCTACCGAGGGGTCTAAGCTGTAGGGAGGGGATGAGAGGGGATTAATTTGGGGGCTCACACCACGTCGACTGGAGAACCACTTTTGGGCCGAAGCGTGAGCAGTAGGGAGATTCTTAGAGAAGCGGGTGCAAAATTGGAGGTCTCTCCCTTTGGCCCCGCGGTGAAGTGGGCGGCGGCGCGGCGACAGAGAAAGGGGATCAGGACACCTCTCACCTGGTGCACAAAGACGTCCACAGGCGGGTCGAGCGCTACGCCCGCGCGGGCGGTCATGGACAGGAAACCGAAGCCCATGCGCACATTAAACCACTTACAGATGCCGGCGCCGTGGAGTGGCTGCGGCTCCTCGCCAGCCCGGGCCGCGTCCCCGGTAGCCGCCTCCTCCGCTGCCTTTGCACAGCCACCTGGGTGGGGGAAAAGGCCACAGCAAAAGCTCAGCTCAGCCCCAGAGCCCTCGCCCCACCTCCCCCTGGAACCTGTACCCTTCTAGCCGGCGCGTGGGAACCCAGGGGTCTGAGGCTTCCAGCCCGCGAGATGGGAAAGCTAAGGATATGACCCGAACCATCTGCCCCTCACCCTCTTTCCCTCCCACCGAGCGCAGCAAGTCACTAAAATCCTAGATGGCCCCCGAAAGTTTCCTCGTCCTTCCGCAACTCTGAGCTGTCTCCGCGCTTTCCCCGGACCGGCGAACCGGCAAATGTCCTGGCTCGCTTGGGGATGGATGCCCCTCCTCCCCCCCGCTTGCCCCCGCCCCTGCCGGGAAGCGGCAGCTCCGGAGCGCGTGCTGCCCGGACGCCTGGGTTCCTGGGGCCGAGGTGGGGCCGCACTAGGCAGGGTGGCCTCCAAATCCCTCGGGGTGCCCTGTCCTACCTCCCTCCCCCGGTCCAAAGATGGTCCCATCCTTGCCCAAGTTCCTAATCGCGAGACCGAACCTGCGAACTGCTGGTTGGACACAGAGCCCATGGTGGTCGGCTCAGCACCCGCGGCCCCGGGCCCCTGGTCGGGTGGCTGCAGGCCCCAGAAAAAACGTCCGAAGGCAAAGGAGGGATCCGAGAGGAGGCCGCTACATCTCCACCGGCACAAAGGCAGTGGGAGGGCCCACGGCTTTTCAAAGGCTCCCAAATTCTAAAAGACAATAACCCCCCGCGGGCAGCCCCCTCCTCTCCTCTTCCCTCCCCTCCCCCACCCCCAGCTCTGCTCTGTCCTACTCTCTCTAGGTCCCTCCCCCCCCACCCCATGCCTCGGGCCTCTGACACCTCTGAGCTCTCCTAGCTCTGCACCTGGAGGGCCACTGGACAAACCTTTGGCCAAGGGGACCCCCTTTTATGACCCCCCCAGAAATATTGAGAAATCTTGTATTTGGGGTCACTTCCGTTTATAGGATCAATAGAGACAGTTAGAGAAGAGGAGACAGTTTGAAGGGGGAGGGTCTCTTGGGGGGTCTTCCCAGGGTCCCCCCTTTCCCCAGCCACGTGACTACATCCCCCCTCCCATCTCCCCGCGAGGATAATTACACATTCCTGAGAGTTGGGGGAGGGAGGTGTGAGTCGGAAAGCGTCGGCCAATCAGGGACACAAACCACCTGTCAAGGGAGAAATGGATGAGCCCTCCCCCTCCCCCCCCACCGAGTTTCCCTCCCCCTCCCCTCCGGCCCCTGGGCTGACCAGTCTGTTTGGCGCTGACCCACAGTCCTCCCTCCACCCCCCACCCAAGTTCCCTGCCCCTTCTCTGAAAGGGATGTGGGAGAGAGGGAGGGGAAAGAAGACTGCATACATTGCCTCCTAACTCAGCGCCTAGTGACTTGCTTTTTGCCTGCCCATTTCTAAGTGTGATGGTTCATTCAACAAAATTCAGATCTAACACGTGTGTTTCTCTGAGAGTATATCGGTCCTCCTCTCCGCATGTTTCTGCTTCCCTCCTCCCTCAGTACCCACGTGAAGCTACCCTCTCCCCATCTACGCAGCCCAAACTGCAGTCTCCCGAGTTTTCGAGTAAGGATCTAATTCTAGAGCTCCAGAGCCGCGCACCCTGGAGCAGGAGCCTAATTCCAACTCGGTACCGCGGCGGGGAGTGGATTGAGATCCACACCTCTCTCCGTGGCCCGCCTCTGTGTCCACCTTGCCCTCCTTCTCCACCCTGGGAGCTAGAGATGGGATGCCTCCATAGAGTCCCTCAGGTGCTGCGGCCTTTGATCCACGTCCGCATCTCCGTGAGGAGTCTACCCGAACCGCAGAAATTGCACTCTCGAGGATCCCCCGGGGAAGCGGAATCCCCGGGGTGGAGACTAGGTGAGGCAGATTACTCCAGGAAGATTGGAGGAATCTCTCCTTTTGGAGGAGAGGATGGTGGAAGCGGGAAGATATCCTAGTTGGAAGAGGAAACCAGGGGACGTGATTTCCCAGTTGGGAGGGGAGGAGGCAGCCAGTCCCGCAGCCCTCCTGGGGTGTACGACCAGAGGGAGGTGAATCAGTAAGAAGGTGGCCACGGCCCTGGCCGGTGCTGGACAATGGCCCAGGGCTCTGCGCGCGGCCCGAGCCCTGCCCCTTCACTTCCGGTGCTCAGTTCAAACTGGACAATGCCAGCTCCGGCCAGTTCCCCACCCTCCTTCCCCTCCCCCACCACTCCAGCCCATTTAAAGGGACAGCGCATCCTTTCCGGGACATCACCTTCTTCACAGTCCCATCTTCTGCCCACGAGAACCCTTCACTTCCTCTTGTCTGACCCCCATGCCCTAAAATCTCTGGTTTGAAGTGAGGGGGAGAGATAACTTCCCCTTTCACCCTCAAGGGGGCGCTTAGGAGAGAGCCAAGACCGGGGCATTAGAGGGTTGGGGGCGGGCGGCGGGGTTGGTGATGTGGGGAAGAAGTTGGGAATAACACTGAATTGGGAGAGCTCAAGCTCTGGAACTAACTCTGGACCTCAGTTTCTTTAACTGTAAAATGAAGGGGGTGGACTAAGGTCTAGTCACTAGATGATCTCTAAAAACGTTTCGAGCTGTAATATTCTGTGGTGTAGTAAATTAAATGGAAAAAACCTGTACACTCAAAAAACCCCTTACAAATAAATATTAATGATTGATTATTTTTTAATAATGTGTACCCCACCCTGTCGCTCCTTGTTACTTCCACTCACTCAAATTTGGGCTCAGATCTTCAAGCGTTTTTTCAGCGTCAAAGTTATTTGGGTTCCCCTCTCGTTCTTGGTAGCCCCCCTTGGCCTCAGATCTCTTTTTCTTGATCAAGATCCTAATTGCCCGAGGAGGCTGTGGCGACTTCAGCAGGAGAAGGAAGTGAAAGATCTTCGATAGTTGGCCTCTAGGAGGTCCAACGGCCCTTCATCTCCCTTGTCTGACTTGAGTAGCCGCTGGTTGAAGGGCAGCCGGGCAGATTCCGAGAACGGATCCGCTCTCTGTCCAGGGTGCTGAGGTTGCACAGTGCCTCTGTCCGTGGTGCTGATCTTTGTGCTGGTCCTCAGTCCGGCAGTCCCAGGCATTGATGAGAACCTCCGGCAAGGTTCTCATTTTGATTCCTCTCCCACCCCTCCTTCTAAGGTTCTCCCTCCGCTCTCACACACAAACATACCTTTTCCACCTACCCAACCAAACCCGCTAGCTCAGAATTCACTTTACAGCATCCTCAACAAGTGTTCATTCAGCTTCTTGAGGATTTCCCAGAGATTAAAAAAAAAAGCCCTCCATCTTCAGAGGCAGTTCATTTCACTGCTGAAAAATGAAACGCATCCCAAGTAAGCTATCTGATGTATATAGAGTGGAAAAACTGGGAGATTGAAAGGGGAAAACGAGTATGGGAGTGGGCTCTCATCCAGAACACAGTGCAGGGAAACTGGCATCAAGAGTCCCTTTCTAAACATGTTTTCTAGTTCTGAAAAATGGACAGAACTATTCCTATATACCTTAGATGAGAAAATAGTTGAAATAAGCAAAGAAGCCCAGAGCAGAATTCCATCATAATGAAAAATGAATGTTTCTGTGGTTAAAATTCATAATACTAATTCATCCATCTAGGGAGCCTGGTTCCCATTTCTTTCCTGAAGGGGGAGGAAAGATCTCATCACCTCTAGAGAGCATGAGAAGGATGATGATAGGTGAACAGAAAGCAGTTCCATCTATTAGCTATATGATCTCAGGCAGGTCATCTTATTTATCTGATCCTCAGTTTCCGCATCTATAAAATAAGTATTTAACTCAATGATTTTTAAGGTTTCTTCTATTTGTACCTAACACAGTTCTTGGTGAATAGTAATTACTTAATAAATATTTTTCCATTCCATTCTCTTCTTCCAGCTCTAATATTCTGTGACTCCATCAAGATCCAGTCCTTTTCCTCATCAGATTGTTCTTGGAGGGGTGGATGGGGAAGATGAAGATGTGGTTTCATACTGAATTTCACTTTCTTCTTTTTCCCTCCCCTGCCCCTACTAAGTGTATTTCACTCAATCCATAAAGTGGAGGTTATAGAATGTTAGAACCGAAAAGATCCTAAAACATAGAATGTTAGAACAAAGAACAGTAGAGCTAGAAGAGACCTTATAGCATTTAATGTTAGAGGTAGAAAATAATCTTCTAGTCAAACTCAGTCATTCAATTTATATTAAGGGAAGTAGATCCAAAGGGAGGAAGTTACTTTCCTAAGACTACACAGAGAGTTGTCATCCCCATTGCTCTCCTGTCCACTCTCCTCCCTTCTCTGTGACTTTCCGGAGATCTAGCTAGAGTCAAAGGACCTGGCAAAGGCCATGAAACCACTGGAGGTTCTTTCTATGGCCTTTCATTTCTAAACTATTTCAAGGTCCCTGTAGGAGAGCCTGGGTCATTCCTTGGTGATTCTTATGAGTGTTAAACTCTGGCTTTCTTCTCATATTTGCACATGCAAGACTATATACATATATGTCAGTGTGCTTTTGTGAAATGTGTGTGTACCTTGTATGTATATGGATGTGTATATGGCTCTCATGTACCCACATTATATTTATGCATGGATGTGCAGATGTGGCATGGACAGTGCTGAATAAAACTGACTCTCTGTGAGCTCAATTTCTCCCTCTGTCAGATGAACTGGTTGGACTACATGATTTATAATCTGTCCTGTCCTGATATTCTGTTGTGGTATTGAGCACTCAAGTGTGTGTGTGTGTGTGTGTGTGTGTGTGTGTGTGTGTGTGTGTGTGTGTGTGTGTGTTTGAGAGAGAGAGAGACAGAGACAGAGAGAGAGATATGCAGGGAGGAGAGAGAGAAGAGAGTGAAGAGAGAAAGGGAGAGAGATCGAAGGAGGGAAGGTGGAGAGAGACAAGAGAGAGAAAGAGAGAGGGGGAGAGATAGAGGGATGGGAGGGAGGGAGGAGAGAGAAAGAGAGATATGAAGGTAGGACAGAGAGGAAAGAGAGGGAGAAAGAGAAAGATGAAGGGAGGGGAGAGAGAAAGAGAAAGGGCAAGAAAAAAGGAGCAGAGAGGGTGGGGGAGAGAGATTCCTTCTTAATTATATGGAGTGATCTGAGCCTACTGCTGTGTGTGTCACTTCCTCTCATCCCTTTTATTCTGTCCCAGAAAGTGAGACTCCCAGTGCCCAGCTTGAGCTGTGCTGCCCTCTGAGGCCTGTTGAATTGTGTTGAGGTTGAGCCAAAGGATTCCTTCCTGTCCTTTCAGCCCTATTCTCTATGCTGGCCTCACTTCATGCAGGACACAGGGCACTGGCTTTCACAAATAATAGCTTCATTAGACTGAAAGGAGAAGAAAGTGACCTCAGTGAAATGGACTTTGTGACCCCAGCTGACCTTTGACCCTCACCCTGACAGCCTCTAAATCTTTTCCTCTGTCCTGTTTCTCTTGAGTTATCCCTTCAAGGTGAGAGCAGGAAGCAAGAGCTGTGTCCTACTGTAACTCACTGCATGTCATTCTATAACTCACCAGGTGTCCAAGTACAAAATAACTGACAACATATTGACTGGAACTTCCTCCCAGTGTGAACTCTGGCTGTTATTCATGGTGTGCCTGACTGTCACTCACCTGGTATTCCCTGGGAATGTACCCAAGTGTAAATGCAAGGGGAGTAAAAAGCATGATTGTGCCTCCTCCTCTTCACTCTGGATGTGTTGATTGCAATTTGTTCGGTGTCAGACTATAACAATATAATCAACTGACTGTCACCTACCTTAATCTGGTCCTTTCCAGGTAGACATTTAGGTCACCAGACAATGCAAATCATAGGGTGTTTTCAGTTATTACAGAGAAATGAAGATTTCCCTGGCACCAAAAATGTGAGATAGCTAGAGAGATGATTTTGATTTAAAAGTGTATCAAACATAGAATCACATATAATCTAATCATGAGAAGGGAACTTAAGATACAGAATGTGAAAGCTAAAAATTGCTTTAGACTATAGAATATTAAAACTGGAAAAGCCCTTAGAACATAGAATGTTAAGAATTTTCAGATACCTCAATAGGGCAGCTACCATTCTCCCCTCCATCAGGTCCTGAACTAAAGAGGCATTTCCTAGATCAAGGAAGGGTGGGATGCTCAGCTCCAGCTCCTGCGTTCTAAGGTTCCATGCAATAGTAAAGCTAAAATATCCTACTCATTCTGCCCCAGCCCCAGGGGTGGATTGATTTTTACAATTTCCCATTGTTCCTTAGAATCTAGATGTCATCAGAAGGCTATCTATCTATCTATCTATCTATCTATCTATCTATCTATCTATCTATCCATCCTCAATGAGCTCAGAAAATAAATGCATGGACTTTTATAAGTAGAAGCAATCTCAGAGATTATCTATTCAAATCCTTCACTTTAAAGACACAGAAACTGAGACCCAGGAAGTGCATGACCAAAAGTCATATAATAAGACAATGGTAGAATTGAAATTGGGAGCTGATTCCCCTGATTCCCAAAATAGTTCTCTTTCTACCATGTTTCAAGGCTATTGTATCTATACTGGCCCCACTACCTGACAAACTTGGTCACAGAATTGAAGGGGCTGAAATTTAGAACAAAGTTAAGGGTACCCAAAGGGATCATTATCTAGCTTAGAGCCAAATGAGAGTTCATTCTGAGAAAGCTACCCACTTGCACTGAAAACTGAAAAAATATCAGGAGTATATCCATCCCAAGGGTAAGAAATGGGGCTACTTTTGAAAATCTAGCTTTGAAGCATAGTCTTGCTTTGTAGAGGTCCCTAGGGACCCATGCTGGGGCAACGCTGTTTCTCCTGTCCCCCACCTCGCCCCCTGTGATGACCTTTGGTAACCTAGATCAATAGACCAGGCCCCTCCAG